AATGAGATCGAGACCGTCCATTAACTGCCCAATCTACTCCTCCATTCAATTCAGTTCGCAAATGAAGTTTCTCTCTCCTCTCGCCCGCCATTTCAGAAACTATGGCAATCACCTCTGCAACTACGAAGACCCTAATTTTCCACAACAACACAGACTTTTCTCCTGGGGTTCGTATCCTCTACTATTATGAAAGCTGTAATTTTATTCCATATTTTTGGTTTGATCTTTGACTGGTTAAAAATACAATTCAGGGCTTTGGCTTCCAAAGAAGAAAGATACGACGGATTTCTGTGAATTGCAGGTTTAATGGTGTGTAAAGGAAATTCTTTTCCTTTGGCTTCTTTCTCCTGTGTCTTTTCTTTCTGTTATTTTCTCATGAATCAAGGGGTACCATATCCAATGGTGGATTGCAACACTTTAAGTTCTGTTTAGTATTTGATTTGATTATGGACATGTGTGTCTCCTTTTTCGTATGAATTTGGTGATTTCTAGTAATTGTGCGCTTCGAATGCATATGGTATTGACATGTCCATAACGTTCATGGGGAAAACAGGGCTTGATATAATTCATGGGGTACTAGCAAATTGGCGTGTAATTTTGAATTTGAGCTTTGAGCTTGTCCTTTTAAATAAATTATTGCTCATTGCAGATAGATAAAAAAAAAAATAGGGGCATTATTTGGAAAGAATTTGATTTTGTAGCTTAGAAATTTCTAAAATATGGACCATATTTAAGTTCATGTTTGTATCAATTGCAAAATCTGTTTATTGGTTATTCTTTTTTGGCTTGACAACTTCTTTTATTGTTATAAAGAGAGAAGAATACAATTTCGTTTGTTTTTTTAAGAGGGATCCCTATTGAGTGTTCATTCTTTTCTTTGATGAATATATTGAGTGTTTTTTACTATTGGTCACGCTAAATTAATTTGGGCCAGCCTTCAGTCATTTGAGGTTTTTAACTGTGATTGTGAGGCACCTTAGTGGGTTCAAAGGGCTTGGATATCATTTCTTACTTATTTCTTGAGCTGAAGTTTACTGCAGGGGAACTCTTGCTCTTAGCGTCATGAGTCCAATAGACGGGAAGATTTTGTTAGTCCCAAAAAAGTATATCAATTAATAAATAAAATCGATAACCAACTTACTCGGATGTTAAGGTTCAATGCCAAAACCTATAAACCAAGCCATCCGGTGACAAACTTCCTTGAGAGTCATCTTTGGTGCATCTCATTCGCTCATTTTCCATCCGTCTCTTTACTTGAGGGGTTAACCTCTTTTTATAGAGATCCATTTTGTTTGTAACTCTTACATTCATGGTCTATAGGAGTTGAGATCCAAGTATAACTCCTACCTTAATTCCCTTAAATGCAACTAATTAGGATTAACAAGTTGTTACTAAACTATTAATCCTATGTAAAGAGCTAAACCTGTCATTAGTGCACTAATAACTCACATAATAGGATGTCATCCAAGCAGTCCTACACTTTGATAAAAGATATTTTAGAAATTAAATAATTTTGTACATCTATAATATAGAAAAACAATTCTTACAAAGAATCTAAACACATCACTGGATTTTCCCTCCAGTGTAACATCCTATAAAAGCTCCAAAAATGGATCCTAGTATATGACATTGCCTCACATGGGATTTTAAATATACTATACAATATGGCTTTTGTACCATTATTGAAAAACCCGGGATAAAAGGGCCTGATAGGCTACATTTCCAACATATTTCACTATACTGAGGTTCTCACTTTTGTGGATATGCAGGTTCTACTCATGCTGTGATTGTAAGTCTCTGCTATCAAGGACATATCTTGAGAATGGGGTTAGGGTTGTGGCGGTAGTACCACATGAGCCTCAACTAAGGTCTAGGTTTCCATTTTCACCCAATACCTTCGAAAACCACTAACAATTTCAAAATTGGATATCCCCACTGAACTACCCCCCCCCTTAAAAAAAACCAGGACATGTCTTGGACTTATGCACACTTCTTCCAAACTTAAGGTTGTCACCTTGTTGGTTCTTTTGTTTTTCTTTTTTTAGGGTTGCTCAAGTGGTGGGCCTGGGATGTCGGCATTCATGGTGCCTCCCTCATATGCGTGTTTGATAAATGTGTCATGTATACATAGCGACACTAATTGGGCAGTTGATGAATTTGGCAATTTAGGATTATTAATGAACCATGTGACAACATGGAAGCATTTCTTGCTTTGCTGTTACTATGTCATGAGTATATAACAAGGGTTCGGGATTCATGAAATCGACGTAGAAAAAGTTTTATGCCGGCTTCCAACCTAACACAACATCCTCTTTTCTCGAGGTTTGGGACCGGCAAGACCGGCTTGGGACCAGCCATGGCAGAGTTTTTGCTGTTACTATGTAGTAATTATTTATGCAAGTAAGAAACCACAATGCTGTTGGGATTTTCATCTTTTTAGTTATTTATGATTTTTGACAAGTAATACCAATTGAGAATGTAAAGATGTTGATATATTCTTTATTTTGAACTCAGGATTCCAATGGAATAGTTGAGTTGTGTGATACCTGTGTCAATGAAATTTGCATGTTAAATAAGGGGTATCTCAAAGGGCATCAGCCAACATTTCTATACCAGATGTTCTAATTAATATGATACGTAACACAAAGGAAATTTGTAGTCCTCAACCTTTATCTCTCATAAGGTTTGTTGGTTTTCTAGCTTGAGCTTTCATTTGGGAAATGCAATCTATTTTCAACTCAAGTTGCTTTGTTATTTCAGAAGTAGATACAATACAACATGCGAAAGAGAGTTGCTCCAGGAGGAAAGTACTTTTGATATCAATGGCTGGTTTTCTTATGGAGGCCTTTGATCAGTCTCAAAAGGATAAAGTTGCTATGGCATCTGAATTTGCAGATAGTAAGCTTCTTATTGACAGTGTCAATTATTGTTTCCATTATGTTTTTTCATATCCATGCATCCATTGTGGAATAGATGTGTTATATACATCTAAAGTAAAATAATTATTGTTCTTTCTGAAATTATGTTGTGATATAAACTCTTCATGCATTTGGATGGGCATTTCCATGCTGATAGCTTGATATATGCATAAAAGGTTATGTCCAGTCAGAGATTCAAGGCCAATCATCTCTTATCAGTCTAGCATGATGTGGTCTGTGCTCAGTTATTATTTGGTAGATATCTTGCAATGTATTGATGCAATTTCTTGGAGTGGTTCTTTTCTATTTTTACCTTCTTGTTTCTATTAGTGCTTTGAACTGGCTCTTTTCCATTTCGAAGTGGTTTTACTTGCAAAGAAGAGACTTGGTTTGTTTCTTAGCCCAAACAAACTGTATTTGACTGATCCAACTATTGGACAATTCAATAGGGCTACCAGCTTCTTAAGCTCTAAGGGCTAGTGTCTAGAAGTTTTTTAGAAAACTGTTGTTTATAGCAATAGTGATTATGAGGTAGGTCTGCTAGGTTGCAAACAAGTACTGCCTTCATGATACCTTTCCTTAATTTTGTTGTTGTATGGTGACTATATCATGCCAGAAATGTAACATTTTCAAGCATCATTCACATGATGCTGGTTATTTGAATTCATCATGGCATCCTGTATTATCTTATTCATTTATTGTATGGTAATATACAGTGAAAATTGGTCACTTGCCACTTCACTTGGTAGCAGATTCATATGGCAATGGTTTCTGAATTTGAGACACAGAAACTTGTCGAGAACAAGGAGAAAATGTAAATGAAGAGGAACAAAACTTATAAACATAAACATGTGGAAGTATTTAGGCCTTTATGATCCTCACCTTGATCTGCTGTAATTCTTTTTGAGGTGTGGGTTTCAATCATCTTTGCATGAGCTGTTGACCTAGATTTATGTTCTAACCATTTGGTCGGATGCATGTTTATTTGTCATGTGGATTACAGTGTTACATTACTTTCTCAACTGGTTGGTTAAATCTTTTTTTTCTTAATAAAATTTAAAAATTGCTTCTAGGTTATGCAGTGCAAGGCAACTAAGATTGTTCTGAAGTGATATTTCTGCATCTGCATAAAGATATTGACTTTCCAACTTTTATGTAAGGGAAAATATCTTCGTACTCCCTATTTTTGGCTTCCATATTTCAAGAGACCCAAAAATTTAAACTATTTCTTGCGGCATAAAGTCTCTATCTTCCTACCCGTAGACCCCTTTGACCATACATTGTTGACCTAAACATTTTGTAAAATGACTCCATCTCTATCTCTCTCAAAACTCTGTATCTCTCTCCCCTCTCTCTCTCTCTGTGAAAACTGCTTGCTTGCATTTGGGCTTTATGGTGAGAATTCAGAGAAAGAAAAGGAAGCGCTTGAAGTTCTCCCGCCATTGACAACCTCACTATTATCCAGTCCTTCCCACCTCTCTTGGTCGAAACCCCTGCAACTTGTTAGGGATTTGATCCTCTGCTTTGCTTCTGAAGCTCTGTGACTTTTTAGGATGTCAATTGTCTGTTCTTCATCAAAGTCACTGCAACTTGTTAGGATTTTGTTTCTCTCATTTTCGTCAAAACCATTGCAACTTGTCAGGGTTTTAGTCCACTGCTTTTCGTCGAGGCCTCAGCAAATTGAGAGGGTTTTAATGCCAGAATCATGCTTAAGGCCGCCGGGAAATCAAATTCCGATGATTTGTTGAAGACCGTCAGCAAAAAAAGGGTTTAGTTGGAGGATGCAGAAGCCAAAAAGGGGTGGTGAAGCAACTGAGAAGCCGTCGACCTTTGTGATGGCTCTCGCCTGAAACACTTCTCAAGAAAATGAAGGCCGGAATCTGAAATTCCGATGAATTTTTCCTACAATTCTGGTATCTTCCCTTTGGCCATCTCCACCACTGTACAACCAAGAGGTCATATATCAGAGGCCGTGACCTGTTCCCTCCTTTTAAAAATTTCAGGCGCCATCCACTTCAAAGTGGGCTTATGGATGTTAGAGAGAAAGAGAGAGAAAAAAAAAAGTAGTGGGTTAGGCGAGAGATAATGGATTGAATTGGAAGGAAGGTTTGGTGCTGGTTAGTTTTGTATTGAAGAAGATTACTTGCTCCTCTTGTCCAAACAATAGAGAGAAAGAGAGGATGAGAGAGGTGAGAGGCGGAGTTTGCAGAGGGGAGAGATACGGAGTTCTGAGCGAGATAGAGATGGAGTCATTTTACAAAATGTTTAGGTCAATAATGTATGGTCAAAGGGGTCTAAAGGGTAGGAAGATAGAAAAGATAGAGACTTTATGCGACAAGAAATAGTTTAAATTCTTGGGTCTCTTGAGAAATGGAACCCAAAAATAGGGGGTACGGAGATATTTTGCCCTTTATGTAATCGACATTTCATTTTAAAAGTTTTAGCTTAGTCTTTAGGTATTAATGGGTATGTTTGTTATTTGGTTGACTTTTCCTTCAAATCCACTTCGAGACTTATTAGGTGTCTCAAAAGTACATCATGGTGGAAAAGTTATTACTGTAATGTGAAGTTGAAATATGATTGATGAGACTGAGTTCTTTATCCATAAACCAAGTATGGCCATGTAAACACCTTTTCGTATTGATCGAAATGGAAAGAATATGCCATTCAAATATTTTGTGCACTAGTCCACAGAGCTTTTGTAGATCTGCTACTTTCCATGAATCCGTTGCGCGTACAACATTGATGCAATGATGTAGATCATATACAAACTATCCAATCTTCATCTATTGCGTCATTTCTTTGATGTGTATGTCTGTTATTTGATTATATGCGGTTCATAAATATGATTAAGAATGGTGTACCCAAATTGTTTCATTTCAAATGAGTTACCAGGACTTAACATTTTGCCCCTTGTTGAATCAGTGCCTGCACTCCGAGGGAAGGATTATGGAAAAACAAAGATGCGGTACCCTGATTACGTAGAAACCAAGTCTGGTCTTCAATACAAGGTTGCTTCTTTTCATAGTTATACCTTGTTCTTCATTGGTATTGTGTCCTTAAGAATTTATAAACTTGTTAGCTATCAGCCAGTAATATTGATAGGCTATAATTTAATTTTGTAAGGGCTGCAGGACTTGAGAGTAGGTAGTGGCGCCTCTCCAAAAATGGGCGAGACAGTTGTGGTAAGAGAAAGGATCTAAGTTCTTTGGTTGTTTTATGAATTTGAGCTATTTAAGATGCTAATTTGTGCAAGGGGTGTTTCTTCTTTTCTTGTTCCTCTTTTGTATTTGTAGCTTTGTGCAAGAGGCCTTGTAAGCAGTATATGATTTAAGAGATTTAAAAGATAGAATCATTGACCAAGGAGTAGTAGTTACATCTATATTGCAGTGGTGCATTTAGTGCAAGTTTAGGAAAATTGGCCTGTTCATTTAGATGTATTTGGATCATTTACAAGGGAGAACATAAACATGTAGAACAATAGATACATTTTGAGAAGATGCACAAATTTATAACAATGATTGACATTGTTAATCTGAGAACTCTGAATTCCTTGAATTGAGCGCCTATTTTCTTGATAATCCATGGTTCTTATTGCCAGATAGGAAATCTTCAATATATTTACTGTTCGGCTGTATTTTGTAAGGTTAATAACAATACTATCCGTTACCTGCTTGAATAGATTCATCCAGAACAATTAGAAGTCTATTCTTAGGTAATGGTGAACACGTCAAGGATATAACATTGGGTGGCTGGGTAGACTTTGATAAGCAGAACTGACCAGCGCATCCACACACAAGTGCATCTTTTTCGCTATGCAAGAAGGATTTATGCAGGTAGCCCTCGTGTTGTATTAATATGAAGGAAATTTACAAGAGATGGACATGCATGTGATAATATACGTTTTGACCTCACTACATATGCTCTAGGTCACTCAAGGTCAATGGGGAGTTTTCATTTCCCATCATTCATGTACTTTTTTTTTCTTCCATCTCTTGGGGGTGTTATGGGCATTATTTCCGATTTTTCATATAATCTCCCTTAGTGCTCCTTGAATGAAATGGTGATGATTTTCTTTTGCTTGCCCATTTCTTTCTCGCTATATAATCCAAATTAGAGTTGGGCGAGAGCCTCTCCAAAGCTTATCTAGGGTCTTGTTATGTTATAGAACTTTTTTTGGAACCATGTAATTAGGAGACTTTGTATACTTAAATCCACTGTAGTTTGGATTAAATCTCCATGTAAGTGCTTGAAATCTCACTCGCAAGCACACATGTTATCAATAGCTCGTTGTGATCTCAACAATGGCTTACATAAGAGGAACTTATTCCACAAATGAGAACCTGAATTTACACTTTATCAGTTGTTGGAAGCCTTTTTTTATAAGCTATCCATGTGAAACATGAGGCCCCAGGGAGTAGTGGTTTAACCCATATGGCAATCAATGTTAAAAAATTCGGTCGCCTGGCCATGTGGGCTGCCAAAGGCCTTTCCCGCACGCGTAAGGGCCTAGGTGGGGTGCCTAGGCATTTTGTGCCTAGGCACCCAAGGCGCCGCCTAGGCAGCTGCCTCTAGGCGGGTGCCTAGGCATCATGCAGTGCCCTTCGGCAAGAGGGCAGAAATATGCCCCCCATCGAGGGAAACAATGTCATTTTCCCCTTCAAAGAGGGAGGAAAGGGTTTAGGGGGGCATTCTACCCCCCCAAAACCTACTTTGCTTGCATTTGAGAGAGAAAATTCTCCAGAACAAGATTTCTTGTGGATTGAAAATTTTGTTGAAGTTTTCGGTTTCTTTCAAATCTATAAATAATCAACCCGATATTTTTTGTGGGTCGATTTGGCTGTGAAAGAAGACTTTGGCTAGTATCGGTCATCGATTTGGTTGTGATAAACGCTCAAGGAATGTTAACTAGAAAGGGATAACATTGACCCCATTGTTATCAATGAGTTGGATGATACATCTGAGTGGTTGATCGATGCTAGGGATGATCTTGTATTTGAAGGAGAAGACTTGACTTGGAGCCAAGTACGGCAGGTAGCTGGAAGTCAATTAAGCCCCAAGTGGGCCACCAGATCTCCATCTCAAGGAAGAGATTAAAAAGAGTGAGAAGGAGGATAATTTAGATTCACAGGAGATTGAGGAAGAGGAAGAATATGTAGAGGAGGGAGACGACTCTGATGATGATGATCATCATCAGATGGTGGCTTTGGTGGTGGTGGTGGTGGATAGCAAGACATTGTTGGTAATGATGATGAAACTCAACTACCAATCTGAGTTCATCATGATCACATTTGATGTAATGTTGGGAGTATGGAGTTGGACTTTTTTTTTCTTTTTCTATGTTTCACTTGGCTATGATGAACTGATATTGTGAAATGTTTATTTTAGGAATGGGTATTAGCCTATTGGGCATCTTTTTTTTAAACAACATTCTTGGGGCCTAGACACCCACGTTTCCAAGGCAAGCTGCCTAGTGAACTAGGCACCCGCCCAGCCGCCTAGGCAGCCGAATCCATATTTTTCAACATAGATGGCAATGCAAAGCTATTACTATTTCTAAGTGTCAAAGACTCGAACTACTTAGCAGATTTAGGTTGCCTCTATTGCACAAATAGTTTGAAGTGAACTTTTGGATGAGATTTCGATTTAATAATACAGATATGAGACACAACATACTCCAACTGGAGTTGCACAATATGTTGTAAAGTATCTCCTGATAGTTATTGGCCTTAGTCACCTGACATTCATCTTGTTGAATGACGCTTGTGCCAGAAACTTTTAAACAAACACCGGCAAGAATCATTTCATGAATTGCAGGATGTTTATAGGGACTTAAAATATCTTCCACTTGTGTTACTCTTTAATGGATTTCATCTGTTCGGACCTTTTTTTTTTGAATTTTTTGAATTTTTTGATAAATTCATTTGCTTGGATTTATCGGTTTGGGTTTCTATGCTTAAGTTGATGGCATGTAATCACAAAGATATACGAAATAATTGAACTTGTGGAAACAACTTGGATACATTCTAATACTATTACAAATTTATACGTACTCAAGGTTGATTGGGATGGTTATACGATTGGTTATTATGGTCGCATCTTCGAAGCTCGAAATAAGACAAAGGGTGGTTCATTTGAGGTAATATATCCTTTGCTCATTTACTTTGGTCTTTCAACTCATGATAATTATTGTTTGGGTTTTCAATTGTTACTATTGACTTGTAGCCTGTGAACATAAGTATATTAGAGATCTTTAGACAGTTGCTAGTTTGAGCTTGAATCATATAGTACTTGTTCTTTTCTTGGCATCTGAACATACGCATAGTTCTTGGTGACTTCAAGTTCCCTTAAATCATATTTGACTATTTACAAATGGACAGCTAAGCTAAGTAAACTTTCAACTGTATGAACATCTAAGCTAAGTATTTTAATCATTGCATTAATTTTATTTTTTTTAATAATTTATGATCAGTTTTCAGATAAATTTTATGATATGCACTAAGGTAATCTAATGAGGTATTATTTATGATGAAATCTGCACCTGTCTTCTTGGTCTGTAACCTTTTCTATAATATTTCTGCAACTAGATTTCCATTTAATAATGTCATGCCAAGCACTGGAATGAAGATTCATATTGGATTTCCACACGTGGGGTTTTTCTTTTTCCATTTGAAAACCAGACGTTAGAATTTAACTCGGCTCCTAGGAACAAGGACCTGCAGCTCTTTAAAAACGTTCACTAAGTGCTAATAGAATTTAACTGTTGGAAGAATGAAGTGAAGAAGAGCCACTAGAAAACAGGTCGATGGCTGACACCCCTCATGGACATCTACATACAAAACTCATCGGAAAAATCATCTTATTGATACCCTTACTAAAGACCAAACTGGTTGGACCTCTATAAATTTCTTGTTGCAGTGGTGGCTAGAGGTTATAAAAATACATTATCCAGAGCCTAAAATACATGTCTTACAGACCCAAAGATGTTTATTATCATCCTGTGGAATATTTAAAATAATTTATTTCAGTTTTCTCATTTGTAGCACTTATGATTACTTTAGGAAAACTTACCTGTAGCCAAGTTAGTATTAGCACGTAAGCAGTGCCAAGAAAAGAAAGTTGTATGAGCTTTGGAAATGATTTCTTTCACTTTTCGGGGTGAAACTTTAATGCTTTTACCTTAGGCCTCGTGTTTCTTGGAAGGAAAATATGAATTTTTTTTTCTTCATTTGATGTAGGGTGGTGACAAAGATTTCTACAAATTTGTACTTGGATCTAACCAGGTGCGTGAAGATTAATTAATTTCAATCTGATCTTGAATCATGATATCTAATGCATGTAAAACTATATAATGTTCATGGATATCTACTAACTAAATGCATTTTTTTTTTACTCAAATATAGCTTTTATAATCATGCATGTAGTTTCTATTTTATGGCAGGGCTTCATAGACTAGTTGGGATTGCGAAGTCTGGTTAAGACAAACTATAAATGGTCATAAAGCCGATCCCGTTCAGTTGATAAATAAGAAAAGTAAAAGGATCCATTTTATCTGGATTGAACTGCTGGGTAGAGCAGCAATCGAAGAAGATTCAACTGAATGAAACTAATTGACCTGGCTAACGATCGTGTAATCCATTCTGATAAAACTGGGTGGTCAAATACAATTTCATAGATGGTCACTATATCAGTTTGACTTCCAGTTTTAGTTTCCATTGAAGGTAGGTTTAATGAGGTCAAAAATATCAGCAAAATTTGACATCAGCATTCTACAATGTCATAATACTATTAGACCATTAATCATGTGTCCTGGGGTAAAGCTTATTATATTTTTTAATATTTTTAATATTTTTCTAATATTTTTCATATTTTTACATTCTCTTAACTATTTTAAGAAAAGTAAACGACTTTCCTCTCATGGTTGAAACATCATAGATTGCTCATCCGCAGCCAAACTCATGGACACCCATGCTAAGCTATTGAGATATTCACATGCATATACTTAGTAAATGTATCATTTTGTTAGATAATAATTATACAAACTGGTTTGGATAGCTAAAAATAAATGACATCACATGACTTCGAGAGTTAATTATGCATTGTTATCCACCATATAGATGCAAAGAGGAGTATTGCAAATCAACTTCTTGTCCCCCTATTTCATCAATTTGTTAGCATTCTTCTGTGCAAAATCATATAGATGATTCCTCCCATATCTTGTGAGAACGGGCCGTGAAAAATGAAATATTTGTCTCCAACTTCAGGTTATACCGGCTTTTGAGGAGGCTGTTGCAAGTATGTCTCTAGGTGGTGTTCGAAGGTGATCTATGACACATCACTTTCCAATGAATCTGATTCTTTTTTCCTAGTACACTGATTCCAGATTTGTATGGAAGCTTTTTCACTTCTTTGGTTATGTCATCATTTGCAATAAAACGTACTTTGGATTTGGCTTTAATGATTTAAACCATCTTTATGAAGCTCTGTAGGCTTTGAAGTTTGATATTTCACCAAATACAGTTCATGTCGGTTGTGAAACTTGGATTTGGATTAAACTCTATATGCTTTGTACTTGGATTTGGATTGCATATGTTTCTATTGTCTCTTCAACTCATATCATTCTTTCTGCTTATTACACCGTAGTATTGATCAACACAAGGTGAACTAATATATATTTAGATACTACAAAACCTTACAAAGTACAAAGACTGGGGATGGATGGTTACCATATTACCTTTGGATATAAGTTGTTGATTTTATTTGTTCTTTCTCTCGAGAACTGTTTTTATATAGGTATATCCTTCAAATTTGGAAGTTTTTACTTTTTGTGGGAACAGAAACAGGATAGTGGCTGGTTATATATGTTCCAGTTTTGGCAAATTATACACCTTGTTTGTGAAAGCCCTGAGATCAGAAAGAAAGGCCTGAGACATTTATGATAATGTTTTTTTCTTTCTTTTTTCCTTTTTAGGGTATATGACGTGGATCAAATGCGTCTGGTGTGTAAACTATTGTTATTATGAAATGACAGGATCATAGTGCCGCCAGAGCTGGGCTATCCAGATAATGACTTCAACAAAAGTGGCCCAAGACCAACAACTTTCTCGGTACTTTAAAAGAAGAGTATACAATGTTCTTGGTAGAACAATGGGAGTACACCATAATCCAGATGGACTATGGACTATGGACAAACCATAATCTATTGAGTCCTTAGTCCTCAACATCCATGAAATGATGGATGGTGATGCATTAAACTGTGTTACCATCAACATTCATCATGTCAATGAACTGTGGTGAAACATGGACTATGATTTTCCTTGTAGTTTATTGAATTATAGTATACTTGCCCTTAACCCTAACCCTAACATCCCGACTTCTAATGCATTTGGATGCTTGATTTTTGTAGGGGCAGAGAGCTCTGGACTTTGTGCTGAAGAATCAGGGCCTCATCGACAAGACTTTGTTGTTTGACATAGAGCTTATCAAAATCATGCCAACTTGACAACCTATCTAGGTTGTGACCCACTCTTCTTGTGTCTGAGTGGTGATTTTCTTGTATACAATGTATTCATTAGGATATTACTGCTTTATTTATGAAATGAGGCGGCAACTTCTCTATTTTATGACTGCTCAATTTTCGTATGTTGGTGCTGCTTTTGTGTGGGGCAAAGTGTAACACATGCAAGTGGCATATGATATATGGTACACCACGGAACAATCACCATCCATTCTCGATGATGGATAGTAGGAATTAACTGCAGTCTTCGGTGAGGAGCATTCACATATGTATGGCTATTCTCCATGCTTCTATGGGAAAGGACAGTGCATGTTCCTAAGGTGTACCATACATCATAAACTAATGGTAAATGAGGGAGTCTCCCATTTTCAATCAATACATATTAATTCCTGTTGAAATTGCATGTAGGATTTGGTCCAGACTGCATCAGGTTGAGATGTACATGTTACACATACAAAATTTTATGAATTTCAAATTAACCTGCTACCCAAATGAAACTCAAGAAATGAACATGATTAGTTGAGTACTGAGAGGATTTGCCCTTATAACCTGTTAAAGGTGGCTAACAATGAAATGAACCTGATTTCAGAGGGGAGTCCCTCAATGCCCCTACCTTGATTGACAAATACCGCACCCTACTCTCTTTCTGGACCAGGATTCACAAGTCTTTCAACACCTTCTCTTCGGCCGACCTCTTCCACAATTGGCATAATCTTTTAAACCTCAGAGCCCGAAGGATTTCTCGATCTTCTCTATGTAGGCCCCCTGAAGATGGGCAAATAAAGCTGAATTTTGATGGTTGCTCTCTTTGACAACCTAGGCCCCTCCAGCATTAGAGGCATTTTTAGAAATTATGCAGGTTCCATAATCCTTTCCTTCTCCTTACCCATTGGAACATCAGATTCCACCATTGCGGAGATCCTGGCCTTACTCGAACGGCTTCGAAGATTCAACCCTAGCTGCAACTTGGACCCTGGTTGCTGAAGGTGACTCTAAAAACACTATTTCTGGGTTGCTGGTCTTGCTGCTTGCCCTTGGGGACTCAACCATATATTCGACAAAATATCACTCATCACTAGCACCCAAGGAGTAACTTGGAGACACACTTATAGGGAGGCTAATGAAGCCACCGATGCGCTTGCTAGGGAAGGCACCTCAATAGTCCCCGGGGATAGTAGGCACTTTTAAGCTTGCACCCCATTTTATTTTATTTTTTTGTTTTTTTATGTAGAGCATTTTTTAGGGCCATAGAGGGTTTTTGTACAGGGGATCCATGAGTTGGGTCAGTCCATTTTCTATATACGCTCTTTGTTTCTTGCTCTCTTTTGTACTCCTTTATACTATCAATACAATAGTTAACTAATAATAAAAAAAAAAACATGGGGCATTTAACCAACACAAGTAAATCCTCCTCAACAATACCCTCTAAATATTTCACAGGAAAAGATGATGAAATGACATTTATTACTTGTTTCCAGAAGAAAGAATAGAGAGCCATTGCTCTGCCTTGACTATTTGTTTCACCCACTATGTCCTAACTCAAGGGGCCATTTAGCACTGCAAAAATAAATCCACAGTGAGTGTTGTAGAACCCTTTCTTTCATACTCTTAGCTTGTTGCTTTCCCTCTTGCCTACAAAAAAATAGCAATACAAATCACCTGCAGGAAATATTTGAAGGTTTTCAATCAATAATCTCACTAATAGCCAGTAGTCTCATTGATAGCCGATCCATAATCCATATTAAGGAAAAATAAAATAAAAACTAAATAGCAATAATAATAATAGCAATAATAGCAAATCCTTCACCCCAAATAATGTATAATGCTAGTTGATTGAAAGAAGCAATCAAATTCATGTTTATCATAATGAAATTTTCTCTTTTCATGGTTGCTCATGTCATTTGCAAAAAGCTTCAACTCATCAAGGTATTTGCTCTTGAATACAGCTCTTGATTGCTACCCTTATATCCCAGCAGAACTAGCTCCCGATCATGTAATCCACTTATGTATAATTGTATTTAGGAAATATACAATGAGATTATTTACTTTTGGTATAAGGTGGTCACAACTAATCTTTGACCATTTGATGTGAAATTATGTGGCTGCATTTATTCCATTGACCAAGCTCAAATTTCAAAAGAGTTTTCTCTTAACTTAATGAGACACCCAAGTTCTCAAACTTCACATTAAAATAGTTATAAATAATTGTGACCTCCTTATACCAAAGGTAAATGGTCTCATTTTATACAATCCCTTATATTATTATGAGAAACTTTCAGAAGATCACTAACTATTTGTGATCCACCTTTCCTGAATCTCTTATTGAGCTTCATAAGAATTCGCCATTAATATCCAAGTCATAGTGGAGCCTCTACATTTTCCAAGCAAAACGTATGAGGTATGGTCGGGTGGTGCTGCAAGATGAGTATGAAAGTATAAAGAAGAGCACAGAATGGTGTCTTTACCAGGAAAAACAACTTATGACCTGGACCCGCATCTTCCATACCTTTTCCTCGATGGATCAATGCGATAGAAACACCATGACACATTAAAACGCGATCATTACAAACATGAAATGGTGTCAACTCCCTCCCTTTCCTTCCTTGCTAATTATATCATACAATTTGGTCTCAAATGAGGTGGTATGCATAGTAGTAGCATATGTACTCTACAGGGAAGCCAGTCATGCTTATGCTGGCCTATAGACCCAACAAACTACACTCTACAACTTGAAGCAGTGACATTATGCACTGATAAATATCAATCCAAGGACAACCATTGATTACAAAAATTGTGGTTTCCGAGTGGCATAACTTGGCAACAATTGCTGAAGTTGTGCCACTTCAATCCCAAAACTGTGTGCGCATTATACACTAATTCTACCATAACAGTGACACCAGGTTTGGTAGAACAATGAGGAAAGGTTTGCCAGGGGATATCTGCTGTAGATTCCAAGCTTGAAAACAATAGAATCGGATGAAAGGGAGTAACAAAATTTCCTACAATTAGTAATTCTTTTGAACAACTTATTGTCAAGTAAAACAAGAATGAAAAGAAAAACTAGGAGCATTCAACAAAATTGGTTCAGTTCATTAAGAAACTGAGAAAAAAAAATGAAGAAATGATGCTAGATCAAACATATGCTTGGCCTTAATCAAACTTGGTTTAAATTGAACCAAACTGGATGTTGTGGTCCCAATGTATAAGTGCCAACACAGATCAAACTCCCATGAAACCAAAAGAACTGGATAATCTGGTCCAAAAGCCTTTAAAACAATAGTTTTATTGCCAGATTGATATTGGTCTAGTTAAGAGGTGCCCAGGCTTCTTGGAACGATGGAAGAATAAGGTTTTGAACATCAACCAATTCTGAAGTGATTTCGGAAGGGGCATACCACAAGTCGTACTGATAAAGGATTGGATGAGGTTTCTGACTTATTATCAAAAGATTGGATGTGACTATCACAAAGGAATTGTCATAAATAATGGAGGGGTGAGACTAAGAAATCTGCAGTATACAGCTACCATTTGAAAAGAACAAGGTAAAATCCGTCCTCGTTTGTAAGAAAGAAACAAAACACAAACACACATTTACACAATGATTCTGTCCACGAGATACTAGTATGTAACTCCTCTCCTCTCTCTCTCTCTCCTCTCTCTCTCTCTCTCTCTCTCTCGCTCTCTCTCATACATTCACAAAGACCCCATGAATAAAAGGAACAGAAACCACTTAGACTGCATTAATATAAGGCTGGGGTTTCTATGAGTCAGCCGACTCATATTGTACATATGCGGGGCTGGGCCCCTCTTAAACCATCTTAAAGATGGATTTTAATCCAAAATTCTAGGGATTCATTATCTAGGTGGATTAAAAGTTCTAGGGATTCATGATCTAGGTTAAGATGATGATAAATATGATAATAAAATAAAATTTTCGATATATAAAATGTGAATTTTTTGAGAAAAACTTGACACCATATGAGCCCCTTGAGTTTTTTGACGTTGGTGAGTCGGCAGGCTCTTGCACCTGCTGATTCATTAACAACTTTTCCTTAATATAAAGAAACACTAAAATGATAAATATAGAATCATTCGGTGGAGAAAAACCTTATCGTTCGAAGATGCCCTTAACATATACCATCCCTTTCTCCATAAGATTAAGTTCCTTCCGCATTTGTTCTACTTGCTCATCGTCCCCTTGAACAATGATCTCTGAAAGAGAACCATCTTCTGCTAGAATCATCTTAACCTTGATTTGTTCCTTTCGAGATGCTCGTTTCCAATAGTAAGCCCCACTGCAATGGAAGAATTTGATGTTGCAAAGAGTATGTTCATAAACAACCATCTTAGATGAGCCCAAAATCGTAAAGAAATGTGACCAATCCAACAGAAGAACAGGGAAAAGAAGGGAGGGGAAAGTATAATATAGTCCAATTGACTGTGGAAAAACATAGTCCATTGGGGTCATGACCAGCAAATGAAATGGAGCACAGTTGAGCAGTGGACCTACTGAACAGAAAATGACCCCAATCGTGGACCCACATGCTCCCACTGCTACTGTCCATCATTTCTTTGGAGGATAATATGACCAATGGACTATGGTTAGTCCATTGGATTATTGTACACTTTCCCATAAGTATGTAAAATCCTAAGATTCGAACTTGGGATTGATTGGTTAAGGTGTTGATGATGGCAATAATATGTTTTCAGTTTAAATCCTGCTGCTAAACTACCAAATAACACAAACAGTATGGTCATACTTACGCTAGAGGACTCAAAGCTGTTAACCAGAACCACCTATTGCCCCCTTCAGGTATGGTAATAGTAAGAACAAGAGCAACACTTGCCAAACTGATGCATGTACAAAATGTAAGCAATGCAGCCTGCCCCCTGCTTGGAACCATCATGCCTTCGAACCTGAGGACAGAGATGACGAATTTGAAAAATAAACAAAAGGACAGTTGAAGAAAAGAAGAAGAAAGTTTGTGGCATATTAGATGGGTATGAAGAAAGATTGTTGATTTCTCAGTGTAAAAGAAATTACCATTGCTATCGATCATAAAACAATGTCTATGTGAGAAAATCAGGCAACATATTCACTAAATGGAGAAGTATAACATAGTCCAATGAATATGGTATCCTTAACTATAAAGGGTGTCAGCTATGTGTTCCTGATGGTGGACAATGGACATTCGCAGTAGTATTGTCAGATTCGCTTCAGAACTTTCTTCGGTTTGGTTGGAAAAAAAAAACAATTCGGTGGAAATTTTTGGATTTTTTTTTTAAAATTTAATATAAATAGAGTGTATATTTATATATAGATATATATTAAAATAATAAAAATTTACAAATAAATTCTTTTAAAAAATAAAAAATAATTGAAAAAAGGACAATTTTGTGCTTCGTCTGAAGGCTGAAGCTTTGGCCAATTTTAAAAAAAACCTTGTCGGCAATGATACTGATGCTGGATACTGCTAGGATACTTGTAATTATAAAAAGACATAATTATAAAAAAATATAGAATTATGCATTATGCTATACTCTATGTTTGTATAAATGTGTTGAATGCACATATGACCATAGAATACAAGCTATAATATATTCTTATAGCCATGTTAATTAGGATAACTGTATCCATATCCTGAATTTTAAGAAATGCAGAGCAGCATCCTCATTTCCCATATCCATGTCCATATTCATTCCAGTATCAGGTCATCTTAGATGGGAACACAAGTTGAATCCCAATTTACTCTAAAATGACATGAAGTGAACAGTGGACTAAGTCTTTGAAGGGAATACACTTTCTCTATCTAGCTCTATGATGCAGATCAAAAGAGATCTACGTAGGAACTGCTGGATTTTTCATCGGAAGAGGAAGAAGAATTCTATGTTAAAGGCAATATTAGGTTAATATAGAAAGTTGGAAGGTAGCATCCTCCATCCTAGTTGGTATTTCTTTTTCACTGATATTTTTCTCGTATAAAAGTTAGTTGGATAGATAGGAAGTAATCAAATTTCCTTTTGGTTTTGGGCATCACGTGAAGCCAAATAGGGTAGGGGTTAGTCCTTTTTCCTGTATGCATGTAAGTGTGCACAAAAAAGAATATTGGTTTTTTTCTTTCTCAGACTCGTGGAGAGATTCATTTTGTGATGGATTCCTTGCAGGTTCTGAGAGGGCATAATCTCTTGATCTTTCATACTTTATTTTTTTGTTTGTTTGTTAATTGGGAGAATTACTCAAATCCCTCAATCAGAAAAAAAAAAGGATAAAAATAAAAAAGAAAGAGAAACAGTGAAGTTCAATTATACTTTTAATTCAATAAAATTCAGTTGTACTTAACAACTAAATTTCATTGTTCCTCATTAGTTTTTGGAGCAAGTGGTGTATAATTTCAGATTGCTAATAGGCATTGACAAAGAACTCCAAAGCCAATATTCAAACTGCAAACTTGTAAAGTTGTAGAGTCTCAAAGAGTTTATAAACTGATAAATGAACAAACCCAAAAATACCAAAATAAGATATAAATCTATGAGGAAAAGTACCAAAAATAAAACTTAATGGCGAGACAATATCATCAATTGCTGCTGAAAAGAGAATCAATTTTTCATAAGAATCCCCTCAATAAAATCCCCAACAAAAAGAAATGGAAGGTCAAGTTAAAACTGCAAGAACAATTCAAAAACAAATTTGAAATGTCATATTACATCAAATGGACAAAACTGAGAGCCTACGTGATGGCTTCTCCCCTGTCTGAAACAATGAAATTGTTGCGAGTGAAGAAGGAAAGTATTTCGCCTGCAATTTGACTGGGGGCCTTCTTCCCCTCCTCTTTCTCACTCCCCACAAAAGTTTTCTGCACAATCTACAAAAAAGAATCCAAAACCCAACTCAATAAAAGAAGAATTTGGACACATACTCGAGAACATTAGTGTTTACCTCAAAACAAAAAACCAATTCATTCAATAAACAATCTGGAACAAGTGCCATCTAGAGAGAGAGTAAAAACCTTGGATTTAACAGAGCGCTTGATGAGAGACCAGAGTCCAGGAACTGAAATGACAAAGAGGCCGAGAGAGGTGTAGTAGCTGGCCTGGGAATACCCAACATTTTCGTGTAAGAGAAAGGAGGGCATGAGAGGATCAGGAGAGAAACTCGCTGTAATTAACCTCTGACGTTTCTTCTCTCTTTTCTGCAAATTCAGCCTGCGATTCAAAGTGGGTCTCGGCCAATTCGGGAGGAGAGAGAGAGTAGGAGAAGATGAAAGAGAAATAATGGTGGTCGAGGATGAGAGAGAAAGAAGAGCAGCCATCTTTCATCATCTGCAAAGATAAAAAAAAAAAAGCCTGTTAAAGGCCCAAGCGACCGTTGAAAGTGATTACTCATTTAAGGATTTGAACCCTCGACCTCAGCTTCTTCCATTTATCTCACTATTTCTCCCTCTAAAATAAAAATACTACAAAAAGTCCACCCAATTCATTGGAATTACGAAACACTGTCCCCTTTTTTTAGAGAGAGAAACTATTTTTAAGAGAGAGAAAGAACCCTTCCAAGAGAAGAGGGGAGAGAATTAAGAAACACTGTCCCTCTTAGAGAGAGAAAGTGATAAGAAAAGTGCAAGTTTTGTGGGAGTAATGCTCTCCACGCCCCCACATCCACAACCTTCTACCCATCAATCTCTCTCTCTAACATCAACAAACCTCTCTCTCTCTCTACAAGCTTCTACCCCATCTCCCACTCTCTCTCTAACTTAAAACCTTCTCTCTCTCTCATGAAAGCCCTCTATTACTTCATAGTCTTATCATCACCTCCTCTCTCTCTCTGTATCAAAACCCACAGTTCTTTGTAATCTTATTAGCCACCATCCTCTCTCTTATGGCTCTGCAAGTCCCTCTCTCGCCCAAAACCAACCCTGCCTCTCTATCGCCATCGCCCCAACATGGCCTTAGAGCACCAGCAAACGCCATGGCCCTCAAGTCTTCTTTCTTTAACGGGGCCACTTCTATATCTCACTTTCTACCTCCCCATGCTCAGAAACCTGCAACTTTAGCTTTGGCACCCAAATTCAGTATGAGGGTTTCCTCTAAACAGGCCTACATTTGCCTAGACTGCGGGTACTGTGCTCTCTCTCCTGTCAAAAACCTCTGAATTTACTGGTCTCTAATTTCTTTTTTTTTTAGTTCTCTTTCTTTCTAACTTGTTTTGTGATTAAATCTATGCAATTGCTTTTTAAACCTCTGAATTTTATATTTTCTGTATTGTTTTTCTGATTAAACGGCTGAATTTGCCTATCTCTGTCTTGCAGGTACATTTACAACGACAGGACCCCATTTGAGAAGCTTCCTGATAAGTTCCTCTGCCCAGGTTATTTACTTCATGACTGCTCTCTTCCTCTCTCGCTTTATCTTCCTCTCTACAATTGATGATGGTATTTTTTGTGCAGTCTGTGGAGCTCCTAAGCGAAGATTCAGGCCTTACGAGTTGTCGGTGGCAAAGAACCCAAATGATACAGACGTTCGCAAAGCTCGAAAGGCTCAGATTAAGAGAGATGAAGCTGTTGGGTATGCCCTCTCTCTCAAATATTTCGTAAAATGTTCCTGTTTCTGAATATTTGAAAACTGGGCATAGCTTCTCCTAAGCAAAGATTGGAAAAGTCTAATAAATAATAACAAAGATCAGATTACATCTGTGTGAGTTTAAAATTTGACTCTTATTAATGTGAGGAATAAATCCCAAATTTTTCCTTTATTTTATTGAGAGAAACAGTGAGGAATTCATCATGTTTATTGTGGCAAACAGAGAGAGAGAGAGAGAGAGAGAGAGAGAGAGAGAGAGAGAATTAGAGTTAGAGAGAGAGAGATGGGGGGAGAGGAACTGATGTTGTTGATTGAAAAATGGTTTGCAGGAGGGCATTACCAGTGGGCATTGTGATTGGAGTAGTTGGTCTTGCTGGTTTATACTTTTACCTCAACAACGCTTTCCAGTAAAATATGAGAGGCCAGGGCCAGACAACCTTTATATTTTTCTGCCATAGAAAACATTTCTTCATTTTCTCTCTCTAAAATCTCAGGTCGCTTTGCCAATTTTGAATTCTGAAGAAGCGTTCTTCATTTCTTTTGCATTTTCGAGGCTATGTACGTACCTTTTCATCTACTCTTTGGAGGCTATGTACCTTTTAATCTACTCGTGTTTAAACCGGAATATTTTCACACTAATTTGCTGTTGTGAAATCCTGTACAAGGATAAATTAGTGTGAAAATATTCCACATCTAACCATTAGTTAATTCATTCTTTCGCGAAATATTTTCACGCAAAATAAAAGTGCCCTAAATCTCGTTCAGATACTGATTATACTTGGTCTAGAGAGATATATTAAATGGCAAGAATGTGGAACTACAGTTGGACTTTGTTGAGGTTTGCATTTTTACAGGCCATTATTCATTACAACAAAATGACTCGGGTGCATGTTATATATTATTTAGAAAACCAATTTCCCATCTGAACACACTTCAATAATCAATACACTTTTCACATACCAAAACTGAACAGGGTAAACTTCCAACATGTAGAAGTTCCCAAAACTCCCCTGCATTTAACTTATTTTATGAATTTAGGGAAATTTATCAAAATATCCGTGAAAGTTATACTATTTATCTCGACACATATTGTTTGATTTTAGTTAAAAATATCCAAAAACACACATGATCACGAGTTGGAATAGTTGCAAATGTATAAAATGGTAAATACTAGGATGCTCATGAGTATTTTGATAATTGCCTATGAATTTACATTTCGTGGACATGTATTTTATTGATACTATACATCTAGGGATATATCTTAAAATACTCATTGGGTAATTATTTAACATTTTACCCGATTGCAACTATTTCAATAATAAAAATATTAAATAGTTCATCTATTATGAGTATTTAGATGGATTTCCCCGATTATAAATCATGGTAATCTCATCTCTATGTTCTCTATTGGGGTTACCTTATAATATTTTAGAAGTAGCAATGTTTTCTATTAATTTTTAAAGATAATAAATTATGAGAATATGTCATATCTTTATTGTCTAATGATAACTTTAAAATATTTAAGAATAATTCATTTAATAATGTTCATGTTTGGCAATAAATACATTTATAGCGTGTTTTATTTCTTCAAGAACATTGGGTTGTTTTAGATGAGCTGGAAATTTATATGAAGTGCCCTCCTTACCTTAAATTTTACTCGGAGAAGTACACTCGATATCGGAAACCTTATGATGGCTTATAAATAAGTATCCATCCCTAGGTCTAAAATTCAAAACTATAAAAACAGTACAGATGAAGTCAATCCACAACGACTTGAAAATATTGAAAATAGATGATCAAGATAATTTGTCGTAAGAAACACCATGTAGGACTTCAAATTGTATTTTCTCTTGTATTTATATATCTCAAGATAGAGATGTAATTGGAGGGTTTTCAGGCATTGGAACACTCTTTTATAGAGGATTTTTGAGGTGCATGTTACTTCTATAGTACAAAGTTAACCCCTTGTATAAACTTTTATCTTTAGATAAAGTTTTAAAAGGCGCGATTTTTAAAATAACTTCAAAAATCTTAGTTTTTTTTTAGTAGAATAAAATATTACTATATCGTATCATTTAAAAAAATTATAAAACTACCTTAATTTTATTTCACTTTGTTATTTTTGTCACTTTACAACAAGGGTGCGGTTTGTATAGAGCCTAGGCTCTAAACAATCAAATTAGAGCCTGCCTTCAAATAGTGTCGAGAAATGTGGTTTTAATATTAAAAATATTTGTGATATCTTTAAAATATATTTTTATAGTTATGTATAAATTTTAAAGCTTCAAAAATAGTGTAGATCGACATATCTAAAACTTGAAAATCTTAAAAATTAACGGTCCAAAAATATATTCCAAAATACATTATTTCCAACACTTGCAACCCATTTTTTTTCTCATGTCCATGCATCTTGATGTCGAGATGATCAATTTGAAGATATTTGGGCATCAAAACAATCTCTTCTAATAAAATTTTGGAGGTAGGTTCAAATTTGATTGTTTAGAGCCTCGTCTCTATATAAACTTTTCCCGTACAACAATGAGATATATCTCATTTAAGAACAATGAGATATATCTCATTTGAGGAGCAACAAGAAATTATTGTTAGCTCATTAGTTGATTACTTGCAACATGAGCTGAAACTCTCCTCTTTTTTTCTTAAATTTGATATAACTTTTTCTTGAAACAACACACTTCATAGGAGTGTATTTAAAATGAAGATGTTGGGATGGATGAATGACAAAACAAGAAAATATAAAATTCCAAATGAATACATTCGAAAGAATTTAAGTGTGGCACAATAGGTGATAAAATAAAAAATAGTGGACTTACGTAGACTGACTATGTATGTCACAAACCCAATACAACACCTCTTAAAAAGTTAGAGTTAATTCAAGTGGAAGGTTAAAAAAGGTCAAAAAAAAAATTCAAAAAGCATGATTGAAAGTAGTGAGAAAAGATACACACTTATAACATGACTTCTAATAAAATAGAATGACCGTATCACTGACCCCAGTTAGTTAGAAAAAAGTTAGTCAAAATGATTTTGCCTTCCACACAAACAATCATGTATGCCCAATTTTTAGTTTTCTTCAACCACTTCTTAACGAATTAAGGGTTTTTTACTCGACAAGTTTTTGGAGCTTTTTCTCTCAAAACAACCATTTTTGGCTCCATCTTCTTTGACCAAAATGGAATTGATACTTGATTTTCTGATTTACTTGCACACTGCCATTATACAAATGTCCAACCATGTTATAAGTTCTCATTTATCACCTACATTTTCCATTGAAAATGTTAAATTTAAATTTTCAGCTAACATAGCATCAAAAATAACTTCTAAAATTAGTTATAGTTTACTTATGGGTGGAACCATCAAGAATTTGTCATTAAACATTTTATCTTTTAATAAAATAGACATTACATTATATCCCTTCCGATCTCAAATTCGGGCTTGGGCTCTATTGGTTTAAGATGTTGACCATCATAACACATCCCGAGATGGAACCCTCCTGCCATAAATAATATATGAAAAAATATATAAAAAGAGACTATTTACTTTTAGTATAAAGAGATCACAATCACTACTGTAAGTCACATTCGGAATAAAATGGTTGTTTTTGACTGAACTCGAAGTCCAAAAAAAAATTTCTTAAGCTTCATGACACACCTCAAACCATTCGATTGGACATCTAATGGCTGAGACTGATTGTGCCCTCTATGTATTAAAGATAAATGGTCTCATTAAATACAATCTCATTAACTTATTATGTTATAACAAAGAAAAATGCAACAGTAATAAAAAAAAACAAACATTCTGGTAATGTATATTGCTACACCAGCTTCATGCTTCTGTATAAATTATAAGAAAATGAAGATGCATTGAATGGCAAAATTATGGTAAAGCAATAGTGGTTATTAAGTCATTGAACATAAATTGTAAGAGAGTCTACTGGTTATTAAGTATCAGAACAGAGGATCTACCGTATTTTGAAATGAATGGCACTTTTAATAACTTTGGAAATTGCTGTTTTCAGTTATTTTCTTCATTTTGAAGGAGTGATACATTCTTGCTTTACTTGTTATTTTATATAAATTATACATGTACAACTTACTATTACGATTGAAATGAAGTGACTTGGAAACATAGTGAGTGTGATTCAATGTAAACAATCTATTATTTCAGAATCTGAAAATGTAATGAAACTATCTCGTTTTCAGTCAGTAAAATTCCTGTAAATATCTAAAGCAGCTGAAGGAAGATACTTCATAAAATATAAAAAAGAAAAAGGAAAAGATAACGAGGAAATGGCATAAGTTTCCCATCTTGAATGCCAGATTAATATTCAGGATTGGGAGTGAGAAGATTTACAGAAATTATTGGGGGATATGGAAATTCAAAAGCTATAAAAACATAGAAATTGAAACTTATACATATATATACAAAAGCAGTCAGGGTTGTCATTCAGGTATGTTGTATGAATCCTCGATTTTCTTCTTTTCAAAGGACAAGGCTGGGAGAACATTTAAAGGGCAAAACATATCATTGAAACTTGACGTGGGTGCAGGTTTGAGCTCGTATGGCCCTTCCTTTACTCCCCATACCTGTTAACAACAGAATGCCATGAGAGAGAGAGAGAGGAGAGAGAGAGAGAGAGAGACACCAC